CCCCAAAACCCCAAAACCCCAAAACCCCTTCTCAATCCAAAAATATTGAATATAACTGGATAATTTTATTCATCCTCAGTTGCATATTTAGCTATGAAGTTTTGGGCTGATTTCCAATACTTTGAGTGAGCTTTTGCAGTGTTGATCATAGATTGAAATGCCTCGGGGATAAGATCCTCTTGAGTTACTTCTTCTCTGATAAATTCTTGTGCATACCCTGCCAAAGCTTTAGCAGTGAGAACAGATCAATTAGCTAAAGTATCCATTCAGTAGCCTCCTTCTAATCACCATGACTATTTTGGGGCATATCTTTTGTAAATTTACTCAAAGCCAAGAATAAAACTCATGGTCCACTTGTTGGAGACCAAGAGGATCTCCTTTAGCTGAATCAAATCCTGCACTGACAATGATTAGCTCTGGATCGAACTCTGCCATTATGCCAAATAAGAGGTTCTCAAAAAGAAATTGGTATTCTTTAGTCCCTATTTCACTGAGATCATCTTCCTCCTCAGTGGTATTCCATGGTACATTGAGGTTGAATCCTTCTCCTTGCTTACTGCCTAAATAGGTGTAGTTTGAGCAGTCCTTATAAGGAAAATATTTTCCGTTTTCCCATCTGTGAACAGACATAAAGAAGACTTTTGATGATTCATAAAATATTTCTTGAGTTCCATCTCCATGATGTACATCCCAGTCAAGTATCAAGACACGTTTAAGATTGTAACTTTTGATTGCAAAATGAGCAGCAATAGCTGCATTGTTAAAAAATCAGTATCCATCTGCATGTCCTTCTGTAGCGTGATGACCAGGAGGTCTCATCAAAGAGAATGCAGCCTTGGGAGTAAATGGAGATGTCACCACATCTTTCATTGCTTGGAGAGAACTTCCAGCAGCAAGTCTCGCTCATTCAGGAGTATGCTTATTCTCAGTATTTTCTTCACCGAACATTTTGGATGTTTCACCGTCTTTTAGCTCCCCAGCTGATAAAATTTTTTGAACTAGAGAAGTTGTATGAACTTGAGTAAGATCTTCAACTTCAATTTGATTGAAGCATGACAAATGAACTCTGTCAGATTTCAGGAGCTATAAAGTGGAATTTTATCTAAATGCTTATATAGAACAAAGTGTAACTAGTTTTTATTCAAAGATAAGTTTGATACTTTAACCCATCTTCATTTAGTATTGAGAGAAGACATTGAAGTAGTAAGGATAACTTACTCCAGTTACGTTGTTGGTGAGATAATAGATATCACCGGCTGGGAGTTTAAAGAAGATTAATAACTTGAATCTAATCCAGTGATTAATTGATAGTAATATAAAAAATTATTGTAGAAATATTTCTCAACTCCATTATCCCTAAGCTTTAATTACCTTATTTTCAGCAAGTGCATCCCATATAAATTGGGACCTCAACTGAATTTCTTCATGATTATCTGGATGTAACTTCGCTCTTTCATCATAATATATGCATAGCTGTTTCTCTGTCTCCTCTCCTAAACTCTTGAACAAAGCTCAAATACATTGGTCTGGATCTTTGTGCTCTGAATCTTGGATCTTCGTGTTTTCTTCACTAATTTCTTCCATAATTATTCAATTATGAGTAATTATTTTGGGGTTTTGGGGTTTTGGGGTTTTGGGGTTTTGGGG